TATAACATTGTCCAGACATGGCTGGTAAGGACATGAGGAGGAAACAGTAGGAGCTGTGTGAGGCTACTAAAGGCAGTGCTATAACATTTTTCTGTCATCATTTTATTATAGATTAAGTGCTGGAGTTGTTAGGTGTGGATAATTAGATTAGGGGAGACCGGGGATAGTTGTAACGTGGGTCAGTTGTAACACTTCCAATTTCTCCAATCAGGGCTAAGTTTCAAATGATGTGATTAATCCTGTGCATGCCCAACTCAGTTGTGCTATCACATGTGAAAAATCAGCACATTTTGTCAAACACAAACAATTTAACACGAAAAAAAGTAATTTGTATGCCAAAAAGTAAGTTTTTCTACTTTATTTCAATTTCTAATAGCATTATCTGCTTTGCAGTTAAACTCATCAAACTTAAATTATGTTATTTGTATGTCTATGGGGATATATTCTGTGTAAGTCTTTAGAGCTAATGTTTTAGCCGTTGGCTGTAATGTTAGCTAGTTCATGGCTATAGGAGTCTGGGTCAGTTGTAACAGCAACAGTCTGGGTTAGTTGTAATAATAATGCAGATGTTACAACTTACCACACTATTACTTTAACTTATATTAAACAAGTTGGGGCGACGACATCAGCAGAGAGAGGTTCACTGGTCGCATTTTTATATGCGGTTAATGCCATTGGCAACACAATTCCTCCACTGTTTGTGTTCCCACACATACACATTCTCACACTGTGTCAGAGATGGACCAGTAGGAAGTATTGGTAGTGGAAATAAATCAGGATGGGTGCAAGAAACAGATTTCCTCATCTTTCTGAAGCACTTTGCAAACCACACCAAGGTAAGCCATGATAAAAAGTAATGGAATTGCGATGCTGGTGAACAACTACATTTTTTCAGCTTCATTGTTATGTTCAAAGTTGGTGCAAGAGCTGTAGGTTATAATGTCCACTGAACCAATGAGGCCAAACGCAAGGAAGACCAACCAAAATTAATGAAATATTCAGTTGCAGAAAATTCCATAATTTGTCTTTTTTGGGGGGTTGGTATATGTTCAAAAGTTAGATTTCTGCATTCTGTCACACACACACATAACTACATAAATGGCTCTAAGTGCATTCATGTGTTGAATAAACAAAGATTACATGTTAATGTTTTGTTAGTACCCTTATTTCATTGTGTTACATTTTACCCCAGGATATGTTACAACTAACCCAGACTATGGGGTTAATTGTAACATTTCACTCTTTGTGTTTGAGGCCATACCATGCAATGGGTAATTGTGCTGCAGAGAAAATAGCTGCACTATTTAATAGCAGAGACATGTAAATACTTTGCATTACATTTTGAATCCACTGCCTTAAAAGAGCTCCAATTTACAGACAGAAATGTCAAAAATGTTACAACTATCCCCGGTCTCCCTATAGTTTATTGCAATAGCAAGTTGTGCCTTGTTCTCACATAGACAGCAAGTGGAGAGTGATATATGAAATGATGGGATGGAAGGAAGAAGAGAAGCAAAGAGTGATTCACAGGCAGAGCCTAAATTATTTCTCACAGTTTTTCGTTGCCTTATGGTTCCAAGCGCTGTCACCAATCTTTGCATTTTGTTATTATCTCATGACACTTGTTTAATCAGCTACCATCTCTCCTATGGACTTTTTAATGTCTACAGTCTCAGATCAACACAGCCCTGCCCTTCCCATATTAGATTCTTGATGAATGTGTGTTGTTGTTATTCAGCCTGGTTCAATGTGCCCCTTTTTAACTTTGAGCACCCGCCCCTTTAAACCTCTCTGCACGGCCCTGGTCAGGTGTGAAAAGGCCTGCAGAGAAATCGTTTCAGAGAGCCAAATGGGCCGGAGTGGTGTTCAGCTGTGTGTTTGAGGTAAAATGGGATTTTAAAAATGTATTATCATTTCCATGTGACTCAGCACAGGTGCACGATTTCAACTATGAGCGCACTTGTTGCCAAATGCAGTGATCCGATCGGTCAGATCTGTTTATGCGGATCCGACAAACCGTGAAAATGGAGTTTGTTTCGAAAAATAAAGGTAAAAAGAAATCGTCCAGTGAAATTACGCGGTCGGTGTGAAGGTCTGCAATAAGAATGGTCAGAAAAAATATTTTTAACGCGGGAAATATTCGGAATGATTTACGCGTCCTCGTTTTATTTCTTTTCTACCACTTCAACTAGATCAGAAGAATAAGCTGCAGACCCACATGTGTGAGGCTGTGAGCTCTAATTTGAAACAAACTGCGCCCTTTGTTCTTTTGTTGAAAATTCTATTTTCACATTGTATACAGTATATCTTTTTCTTCTAATCGATAAAGAGCAACTGAATATCTCGGCAAAGGCATGAGAGCAGAAAACAAATATTAAACACAAACCTCCTTTTGCCACAAAGTCTTGTCGACCCTGGAGCTGGTTGCTGTCACTTTGGGACTATTTTTCATCCATGCAAACGCCAGGATTTCTATTTTGGATGAACCAGTGTAATTTGGGTTTGGAACTGAATGTTTTTTGTTTTAAAAATATATATTTATATTTGCAATACTTGATTTAATTTAGTTGTGAAGAAGAGAGCACAAACAGGGTGGAGACGAATGTCTCTGGGGGATTTGTGAAAGAAGAATCAGAGAAAGAATGAAATGGAAAGGTTTGCAGAAGTGAGACCTGCTGTGATGTGGAGACAGATTGGACACAGTGCTCAGATTCTTTTCATTGTCCTCCTGTCGTTTTGTTGGTATCACTGTTTCCAACTCAGGTTGAGTGAATTGGAGACAAAGTCAGAGAGACAAGGCTGAGATGGTTTGGACATGTGCAAAGGAGGGATAGTTGATGTACTGTACAAACGATGTTGAAGAGTAGGAGGTCAGAGGAGGTTCATAGATGTAGTGAAAGAGGACACTGACAGGACCGGTGACCGAGCTAGGAATAGAGTGAGATGGAGGCTGATGATCCAATGTCAAGACCCCTAAAGAGAGCAGCCAAAAGATGATGAAGAAGACATTTTTGTTGCTTTTGCTGTGACTCGTGAAGACTAACGTGGCCTCTGCAACTATTTTAAGATGGAGATGCAAAGTGTATTAAATAAAGACTTTGTTGCTAAAACGATTTCGGTTATAAAGGTGAGCAAGAAAGACAGAAACAGACAACTGGTTGAACATGATGATTCATATCAGCACAGGAAGAATGCTGCACTGCGCTTGACATTTATTAACTTGTTTGAACAGAAACCACTTGCTGAGTCACACATGAGCAGATGCCACATCTCAACACAAAGCGTCTGTTACTGTACGAGTTTCGTTATTAGGACCTACAGCAGATGACTTCCCCTCCCTGAGTCTGACTGTTACTTTGTGTTAAAACGTGCCTTTTCCTTCCCACTGTCACCAAGTCCTTGCTCGTAACAGTTCTCAAAGATGTTCTGTTGGGTTGAGGTCAGGACTCTATACAGGTCAAGGTCTTCCACAAACTTGCTCATCCATGGCTTTGTGGACCTTGCTTTGTGCACTGGTGTGAAGACATGCTGGAACAGGAATGGGCCATCCCCAAACTGCTACCACAAGGTTGTGAGGATGAAATTGTCCTAAATGTCTTGGTATACTGAAACATACCTGCTCTGTGAATTCGCATGGTCTACCAGTTCATGGCTGAGTTAGTGTCACGTTCACTATGCTATAATCCCACTATGAGCTGACTGTGGAAAATACTGAGTGTGCTTGTTATGCAGTGCACAATCCAGTCACTCTATGAAGACACTTTTCCCATGCTTATAGACATCACAGCTGTCTTTATTTTAGCAAAGCTGAATCCGTGTCAGGTTAGCAGTAGTCTAGTTAAAGAAGATGATGTGAGTTTATGGCAAAAGCATAAATAAATGTGTCCAGCAGGGATGCTGAATGTGAGGTGCTGTGTTTGCTTCAGAGTTGTTACACCTGTGAGTAGGGATGGGTACCGGTATCGGTTCTGACATAAACGGTATAACCAGACCGAAAAGCAGCGCACATTTCGGTGCTTTCTTTCGGTGCTTTTTTTCCCCCTGAGATGTCATACACTTTGAATACTAGCCAATCATTTTAACTACACCTGGCGACGTATAGCATTTTGTTAAAAGTCGAGAAATGCACCGTATTTGATAGCTTGCTGTGAGACCTCACACCGTGCACATCTACTGCGGGTGTGATGCCTGTAATCGGACGCGGAGTTAGCAACATCCCCCAAGAACCGAAGGAGTAGAGTCCTGGCCCCTAGCCCTGCCAGTGTAGCAGAAATGATGACGGATGATGATGCAGCAGCAGCCGTTCTTCTCTGAGTGAGTGGCTTAATGTTGTTCGTGTGTAATTTACATTGAGTAGGCCAACCACGTTATTAAATTAATGGATGCAAGGTGAACTAGCAAACACCGTAGTAGTTAAGCGGCTGACTTCTTGTTTGATGGCAGATACTCCCTTCACCCTGGCCAAAAAGGCTAAAATGACCAAAGAAAAAGTAGAAAACAGCTAAACATGAGAGGTTTTTGGACCAATATTGTGTTCTCCATTCTTTAAGCACCGGTTCGAGCACCGTTTAAGCACCGGCACCGTTTCAAAAGTACCGGTTTGGTACTGGTATCGGATAAAACCTAAACGATACCCATTCCTACCTGTGAGTATGAGCAACATAAAGTGGTTAAAACGGACAATAAATTCAAATTTCTTCTCCTGCCTGATTTTTTTGCAGAAAAACATGACATGCTACTTGTATTAGTTCAGATTTATTAGCAAAATACCAAGAAAAATGTACTTAAATCTAATATATATTTTTTTTGGTTTGGTAAGTTTAGATCTAATCATTTAATAAGTGGCAATTCAGTACAAGCAATATATATTGTTTATATTATGAATAAATGGATAAATAAAATGCATAGATGTAACAAAATGTTGAAAATCTCTGGTGTTTTCTCTCTTTGTGTTGTCGTTGTTGTTGTTTCCCAAGGGCAAAGCTGGAGAAGGCTTTAAAGCAGCAGCTCATGGATTCACCAAACCAAGCGTCTCGCTCTGCAGGTACGAGTTCAGCAGCATGTTTGGAGAGACGTCATTAAGGCAAACAAACATGAATCACAAAGAGGATTTTTCCAGCGAACACAACAGAGCTCTCTGCTTAACTCCATATAGAGGAATGACATTAAAGCATTGGCAGAAATGCTCAGACAGTAAAACAAAGGCTAATCCATAAAACATATTAAACATTAAACCAAACATATTTCATGATTAAAAAAATAATGTGAAATTTATGTCTCAGCCAAATAAAACAAACAAACAGAAGAACAAAAACGGGCAGCTTCTTATATAATATGCTTATGGTTTTCATATCAATCTTTACATGCTTACTTTTCAAAAATTCTAAAACTTGCTCATTTTCAGTACTCAGAGAGAAGTAGCATATAGAATATTTTTATCTGTGGGAGCTGGTGGACAACCTTTGGTTGGAATTTTGCAGAGTCTACTCATATTGAGTTAACTAGGAAGTCTATGCTATCTGAACTACACTAATTAGATGTATTTGTTATTAAATTTCAAGGTCAATCAACTTTCATCTTTCTTTTTTAAGAAAAAATGAAAAAGAAAAGAAATTTGAAATCCTCACATCAATTTCTTTCTTTCCACAGAGAAGGAGCTTGCCAGAATGCGAACACAGTTTGTGCAGAGGGTGACAGCAGAAAATTTCACACAGCTACTTGAAGCCCTTGTAACAGACAATGTCTTGAATGAGTTGGAGAAAGAAAGGATACAGGAAACTAACCAAACTAGAGCAGACAAGGCACGTGACTTCATTGACACCGTGAAGAAAAAGGGAGAAAAAGCCTGCAGGATAATGATCAGTCACCTTCGAACCATTGATCCTACAGTTTCCTGTCAGCTAGGTTTGTCCTCTGGGCCATCTGTTCGGTTAGGTGAGAAAAAAAATATTTCTGTTATGATTTTTATCATTGCACAGTTTGCTTGAACGGTGAGAGTATGATGCATTTCTTTTTCTATTGTAAATCGTTTGTCGTTTGTCTTCGATCAGTTTTCATTTAAATATTTATGGAGTGCCTTACTTGGTTTTTAAATTACTATAAATTTATCTGGAGAAGTGGAGTCCAGTCCATTCTTGAATTACCTTCTGTGAAAAGAAACGAGCAGTTGGGATATTTATATCATCCCAATTGGTTCCTGCATATTGTTGTTTTCCCTGATGGATGAAAAGGTTGTTTCCCTGAACCACTGGGTTGAAGAATTGATATTGACTATTATCCTAACTTACACAGTAACAGCTCAGAGTTCTGGCAGAACTTTGGGCTATCAGAAACTGAATTTGAATAACTTTTATTTGAATTTGCATTGCTCAGATTGAATCTGAATTTCTCAACTTGATTAAAAGCTTCCAAAACTGAATTTGAAAATTCTTCACCTGTTCAAAGACAAAGCAGCCATTTAAATAAAATATAAGATATTGTTCATCTGTAACTGCAAAAAGAGAATTTAGAAATGTAATTATTAACAATTAGCTGTAGATTACTGATCGTGTAATCTACAGCTGTGGCCAAATGTTTGGAGAATGAGAAGTGTTTTGTTTTGTTTTTTTCCCACACAATTTGCCGTTTCAGTGATAGTCATATCAGGTGATCCAGATGAGTTAGTAGCTTCTCTACTGTCAGGGTCTCTGCAAGCATATGGGGCTCTGAGAGGGTACAAGTTGACAACTTTGGAATTCTATTGGAAACAAACTATCATATTTGTTTGTCAAATCTGAACCCAGGGCAAACTAACCTAAATTGGCGTTTTTAGCTAACAGTTACAAAAGCACAACAGTAACTGTTTTGGTTATAATTTGTTTATATTAAGCTTTTTCTTATAGAGGTAATATATTTATTACCAACCTGAGAGTTTATCTGCTGGTCATTGAGCATGACGAATGGGAGGGACTGAGGACACAACCCTGTGGAATGCCAGTGTTAGTAATAATGCTGGCTTAAGTCCTATTGCCGATCCTGACGGACTGCGGCCTGCCAGTCAAAAAGTCCTGTAGCCAGTCACATAGGGTTGGGTGTAGGCCGAGTGTTGCCAACTTTTGAGTGAGTTTGTGTGGGATGACAGTATTGAAGGCAGAGCTGTAATAAACAAAAACTACCCTGATGTATGAGTCTTTGTTTTCTAGATCTGGAGGGTCTCGAAGCAGGTGTAGAATTGAGGTCATCCAGCAGACTGCCTGCAGAGCTGGCAGAACTGCAACTGAGAAGTGAGAGGGGAAACTGAACATATTTGTTACGTCCCCTCTTAAATGCTAGGCGATGAGGGTGGGGGACAGTAACAGTTAGATCCAGGTGGAATGAAAAGAACGCCAGGCAGAGGTATTTAATATAAAAGAGATCTTTATTGTAGGCAAACACCTCAATAATTACAAATGGCAACAACAAAAGGAGACAGCACCGCTGCTTTTTAATAAGAAATCAGGGAGGTCAACCCAAAGTGGTAATGACCACTCAACAAAGAACGCAACAATAAGGCTTCAACAGAAAGAGACAGCAACGCTGCTAACAAACAATATCCAGGCAGGCCACACAAACTAATGAAGGCCGCCATCACTCATGGGCAATCACTGCTCAGTTAAGCACTACTCACACACCAGAGCCACACACCAGAGCCACACACCAGAGCCACACACCAGAGCCACACACCAGAGCCACACACCAGAGCGCTGGTCACACGCAGCAGGCTGTTCCACACCTAAGTCAGTAGCCCACTCTGACCAGCACAGAGGGAAAACCACCAGAAACCTCTCCTTCCTCCTCCACACTGCTCTTCTCCAGCTTATATCACCCCTGAGGGTAATTGGTTGTAACGAGAGCAGATGAGCAGCAGGTGTGACCTAAAGGAGAGGGCAGGGGCAGAGAGAGACAAGGGGAGGGGCCAGAACGAAGGAGGAGGAGAGAGAGAAGACAACACCACGCCCACACACTCCCACAGCCTCCCAGGATGTAACAATATTCAAGAGCTAAATTTAAAAAAAGGATAAAATACAATTTCTTTGGTTCAATAAAAGGATCAGGGATTGCAACATCTAATCCTTTTACTGAATCAAAGAAAATTAATTCATTCTGTTTCAATTTAGTGACAATCATCTCCAAACCAACACACTGGATTTCAAATTTAGGTTAATTCAGTTTTAGAAGCCTTTTTTTTTATCTATTGTTGAGCAAATCAGACTCAATCTTAGCAATGCAAATTCAAATATAAATTATTCAAATTCAGTTTCTGATGGCAAAAAGTTCTGCCCATATCAGAGCACCTGCCCTTCTTGGAATGCTCTATTGGCGTGCTGGAACATGCCTCAGGTGGAATCTACAATGTCCTACTAGGAGACTTCAATGATCATGTAGGCAATAACAGTGAGACCTGGGGTGTGACTGTACTAAACAGAGTTTATCTATAATGAACCCGTTGTTCAAGCATTAGGATATTGAAAAGTGCACTCGGCACTGGGAAACACTATGTGGCAAGACAATTAACAATTTTTTATGAATTTATATTAACTAAACCAACCATATTAGTCAGAAAATTTTATGTGTTGTTTTTTTCTGTTAGCAGCACTTGAGAAGTGTCAGCTCAAATTCAAATCTACTCTGAAGAAGAAATTCCAGTGTGTGTTTGAGGGAATTCCTAAAGCAGGGAACCCAACCCTGCTGAATCAGATCTACACAGAGCTCTACATCACAGAGGGAGAGACTACAGAGGTCAATCGTGAACATGAGGTCAGACAGATTGAAACAGCATCCAGGAAATGGCACAGTACAAAAATAACAATCAGACAAGAAGACATCTTTAAAGGCCCACCTGGAAGAGATGAACCGATCAGGACAGTGTTGACAATGGGAGTGGCTGGAATTGGGAAAACAGTGTTAACACAGAAGTTCACTCTGGATTGGGCTGAATGCAAAACCAATCAGGACATCCAGTTCATATTTCCATTCACTTTCAGAGAGCTGAATGTGCTACAAGAGAAAAAGTTCAGCTTGGTGGAACTTATTCATCTCTTCTTTACTGAAACCAAAGAAGCAGGAATCTGCAGCTTTGAAGACTTCCAGGTTGTGTTCATCTTTGATGGTCTGGATGAGTGTCGACCTCCTCTGGATTTCCACAAAACTAAAATCCTAACTGACCTTCGAAAGTCCACCTCCGTGGATGCGATACTGATAAACCTCATCAGAGGGCATCTGCTTCCCACTTCTCGCCTCTGGATAACCACACGACCTGCAGCAGCCAATCAGGTGCCTGCTGAGTGTGTTGACATGGTGACAGAGGTCAGAGGATTTACTGACCCACATAAGAATGAGTACTTCAGAAAGCGATACAAAGATAAGAAAAAGCCAATAGGGTAATCTCCCACATCAAGACATCACGAAGCCTCCACATCATGTGCCACATCCCAGTCTTCTGCTGGATCACTGCTACAGTTCTGGAGAATATGCTAGAAACCAGAAAGAGGCGAGAGTTGCCTAAGACTCTGACTGAAATGTACATCCACTTCTTGGTGATTCAGGTCAAAGTGAAGAAGGTCAAGTATGATGGAGGAGCTGAGACAGATCAACACTGGAGTCCAGAGAGCAGGAAGATGATTGAGTCTCTGGGAAAACTGGCTTTTGAGCAGCTGCAAAAAGGAAATCTGATCTTCTATGAATCAGACCTGACAGAGTGTGGCATCGATATCAGAGCAGCCTCAGTGTACTCAGGAGTGTTCACACAGATCTTTAAAGAGGAGAGAGGACTGTACCAGAATAGGGTGTTCTGCTTTGTCCATCTGAGTGTTCAGGAGTTTCTGGCTGCTCTTCATGTCCATCTGACTTTCATCAACTCTGGAGTCAATCTGCTGGAAGAACAACAAACTGGGGCACATTTCTACAAGAGTGCTGTGGACAAGTCCTTACAGAGTCCAAATGGACACCTGGACTTGTTCCTTCGCTTCCTCCTGGGTATTTCACTACATTCCAATCAGACTCTCCTACAAGGCCCGCTGACACAAAGAAAACGTAGCTCACGAATCAATCAGGAAGTAGTGCAGTACATCAAGCAGAAGATTGGGGAGAATCCTGATCAGGAGAGAATCTTTAATCTCTTTCACTGTTTGAATGAACTGAATGATCGTTCTCTTATGAAGGAAATTCAACAGTCCCTGAGTTCAGGAAGTCTCTCCACAGATAAATTTTCCTCTGCCCAGTGGTCAGCTTTGGTCTTCATTTTATTGTCATCAGAAAAACACCTGGATAAGTTTGACTTAAAGAAATACTCTGCTTCAGGAGAAGGCCTTTTAAGTCTGTTGCCTGTGGTCAAAGCCTCCAACTACGCTCTGTAAGTTACCATTAAATACACTATCATCTTTAGAAACTGACGGAAATGAAAATGATCACACTTATTAGTAATAATTTCATTTGTGTGGCACTTTCAAAATACACACATATAAAGGTTCTTCACAGTTTGGATAAAACCACACAGGTATACATGGTCGATTACACAGTGAGACACTAATTGGACGATCTGAGAAGGTGACTGCTGGAATACGGTCCCAGCAGCTCTGCTATATAAGCAGGAACCTGGCTCTGTATGTGATTAATACAATTTTAAAACACATTCTGAATTTCACTGAAAGCCAGTGTTTTAAGCATTATACGTGCTGTTTTAAGCATTATACGTGCTGTGTTCTTGACCAACTGAAGCCAGGCAAAGGAGGACTGAGAGAGCCAAAATTGAGACAGGAGAAAATTATAGTAGTGACTACTAAAAGTTCCATATCATCAGTAAAGGTTTGATTTTGCAATGTTTCTTAAATGAAAGAAATGAGACTAGATGGTCTTAGAGACATGATATTCAAAATTCAGATTTTAGTCAAAAATAATAAAACTTTCAGATGATTTGATATTACCTGCATATGGACTGACCCAAACACACAAAGAACAGAAAACCAAGTTGGTGGAGAGCCTGCATGACCGCGGGGCAGACGGTCAGCAGAGTCTCTCTGAGCCTAACATGGCTCTCAGTTAAATACCTTCTTCAGGAACAAAAGGCAGTACACAGCTGTTTCACACCTTATGGTTCACACCCCCTTGCTAACTCCCAGAGTCCTCAAAGAGACAAAAGATTCTTCCTGTGGAGTTGTCTGCTTCCCCCAACTTCCTTACTAGACCCCCACCATTTGTCTTACTGTATGAGTGTGAGACATGTTAAAATCCAGTGGCACCAAGGCATTATACAATAAAATAATGTGATTAATACATAAGTAGAATATATTCCTATACAGGTCATAGGTCAAATGTGATATGATATTTGAAAATTTATATGGAAATTTCTATATGTTCGCCTCTGTCAGTGCGCCCCAGGGTGGCTGTGGCTACAATGTAGCTTACCATCACCAGTGTGTGAATGGGTGGATGACAGGTTGTGTAAAGCGCTTTGGGGTCCTTAGGGACTAGAAAAGCGCTATACAAATACAGGCCATTTACCATATGTTGATAATACCTACTAGACCTATAAGAATCATAGTTTCTGAGTTATATTACTTTTTGTCAATTTTCAACCAATAAATCATTAAGTTGATCTTGAAAACCTTGGGGGCTGTTAATATGGCCACACATTATACCCCTGCAAAGTTTTATCGGTATTGATTCAAACGTTTTCAACCCATCATGTTTACAGACAAAATGACATGAATGCATGCACACAAACACTACCAAAACCATAACCTCCCTGGCAGATCTAATTATACATAACTGGTTCAAGAAGTCCTCAAGAAGTGCTGACGAGGACATGCAGTTGTTAATATGAATTCCGAAGTGTCTATTAGATAAGGATGATGCAAACCATTTCAGAGCTTGTCATTACTGTCTCTTCAGACTATGTGCCTGTAATGTCTCAGAGAGAAGCTGTAGAGTTCTGTCTTCAGTTCTCAGCTCCCAATCCTCTAGATTGAGAGAACTGGACCTGAGTAACAACAACCTGAAGGATTCAGGTGTGAAGATCCTGTCTTCTGGATTAAAGAGTCTGCACTGCAAACTCAACACTCTTCGGTAAAAATTATTTAGCTTCTTTAAATAAAAGCCATTTATTTTAAAATATCTTATCTGGTCTTACTCATATTAACTTTTTTTTCCATCCTTGAACAATAAGAAATGAGGAGAGGTTCCGTTTTGTTTTTTTGTTGTTGTTTTGTTTTTCCCAGATATTGCACAGTCCTTGATGTAATCTAACTGGGTTAAATTAATAGTAACATTTGGGGAATTCAATACTGATATGTACTTCAATTTTAGCTGAAGATTCAAGGGACCCAGTAGCTAGTGGCAGACAAAACTGCATAACAAAAGCAGCTGATCTAAGATTAATGATACTATTTTTTTAAATACTTGAAACTTGAATATCGTCCATTTTAAGTGAACGTGTTATTCTCCTTAGCACAAGGAAATGTGGCAAAAAGAAACTGTGTGAATCTATTAACGTATGTCCTTTTAAAAACAAAAAATTAAACCTTGTTTCTCTTTGCGACCTTTGTGGTTGCATTTATGTAGTTACTTATGCTACAAGCCACACTACAAAACCAAATCAAAGAACAGGACTTACTGTAATTTAGCTACATACATTACCTCCTGTGTTTTGTTTGGTTTTCCTTTTTTTGCATTATTGTAAACTAATCTTAAATTTTCACAGGAATATTTATTGCTCATTCAGCATGAATATGTTGCATGTATAGAAAATGCAAATCAAAGACAAAAATGTGAACCACAGTGAATTTGAGTGACAAAAGCCTGATATGGATAGTTTACAATTAGACAGTTGAAACACCCTAGTGTTAGATTAGTGCCCTAAAAGTGTCTGTCTTCTGATGTTCTGTGCAGACTGTCAGGCTGTCTGATCAGAGAGGAAGGCTGCATTTCTCTAGCCTTAGCTATTAGCGCCAACCCTTCTCATCTGAGAGAGCTGGACCTGAGGTACAACCATCCAGGAGAGGGAGGAGTGAAGCAGCTGAAGCAGCGGAGATGGGAAACTCTCAGGTATGGAGAGGCCTGGTGCAGCCACAGGCAGGACAGTGGAATAGTCTTGACTGTAGATGTGGATATGATAGTGTAACTCTGTGTTAGTTCTGTGCATGTGTGGTAATCTGTCCAGGGTGTTTTACACCATGTCCCTCTTTGATAGCCCCAAATTCAATAAGCTGTTAAGAAACTAAAAATGATGGGTATACAGTAGGGGTGGAGCCGAACCCGAATACAGTATTCAGAAAGGCACAAATAACGTGTTTTTTACAAATATTTATTTCGAACAAATACTTTAAAATATATATTTGTATTCAGGAACAAGGGAAAACTTTAAATCAAAATCTGAGTTTCCTTATAAGACCGCAGTGCATGTGGGTGACGTGTGAAAGAGGTGACTGACACTGGCTGCTCCACACAGCAACAGAGAAGGCTCGGCTGAGCAAAAAAGACTGAACTGCATCACTATTTTTGTTGAATAGATTTTTTTGTACCTCACCTGGGTTCTGGAGGCAGTTTATAACTTTTGCGAAGATCAGTAGATTATTCCATTACACTGCATTATTGACGTCTGCAGTCGGGTCGGGTGGTCTCATGTTTGCTCTGTTTACGTAGCTCTGTTAGTTCGGTAATTTAGACAAAAGGCCGTTGACAGAGTAACGTTAACGTTTGGTTAAAAAGGTTAAAACAATGCTTGTGTAGTTGTGTCAAATTGTATGCACTTACGCGAGTTGCATGGTACGTTTAAGTTACTTTGTCTTTTGCAGACAGCAAGATATAGGCTATAGGCCAGTTAACCTTAGCATAGCTTCGCGTCACTCGTTAACTTAGCTGAAACTCCCCACATGGATTTGGGCAACCAAATAGAAAAGAGTGTGGCTGCTGCTGAGCCATCTCTTGGTCCTCCACCAGGCAAAAAAACTCAAGTTCTGTGTGGAAGCATATTACAGTCAGTGCTGCAGAAGAAACCAAAGTGATATGTGTGCAAAAGTCAAATCAGCAGACGCAGAAATATCAAACATCTGTCAACCTCTGCCATGGATAATCACATGCTCTTAAAGCATCCACTCTTGATACGGTCTGCCAACCCCCCACAAGCACCAATTCATCATCATAACCATGTTCTGCCCCTGCGAGTCAGTTTCGCTGTCTGTTCAGCATCCTCCAACAAGGACAGGTGGTGGTGGTGGTGGTGGGGGGGTTCATAATGTTCCAATGGTATTTTATTAGTTGTTGGTTTAACCATGGATGAGGCCATGGCTGTTATGTTATTTTCACTTCAATTATGTTACATGTTCATTGCTGGATTTATGGGAAAACATCAACTAATACTGCATATTCATAATTATTATATTGGATATAATTAAAGAATACTTACACTATAATGTTTATTTGAAGTGTAACACAAAAAAAATGGATTTTTACACCTATTTTGAACTTTACTCGGATACAAATACAAATACTTTCCCCCTCTCAACAAATATAAATACTGGCTGCTTTGCACATCTCTCGTATACAATAAAGCTGGCTCATTATGTCTAGTCTATATATTCAGATTACACTTAATTGGTTCATTTGTTATGCACTCTGAACACGACAAGAAAAACTGTTGTTGCTATGCTTAACTCAAAAATAGAGAAAGTGATTTGAAGCCCTTCTTCTACATCTGAATTTTGTTGTTGGATAGTAGGGGACAAACTTGGAAAAAACTGGTTATTAATATAAAAAAATCAACAGAGCTATGGCCATTTGTACATAATAAAACAGACTGAACTGGTATGAATTTTTCTATTTTGTAACAGTTCAGAAGTTTTTTTATTTTCTAAATTATTTATTTTTAACATTTTAAATGTAAGTTTATATTAAAGAACAACTTACATTCCTTAAAAATGTGTGTAATGTCCATGTGTGCATGCTGAAAGAGACTGTGCTGGTCTGACCCCCCTCCTCCTTTCAGGGTCATTCTGGAGCCTGCTGGAGAACAATGGTTGAGACCAGGTCTGAGGAAGTGTAAGTGTGTTTTTAATGTGATTCATGAAAACATTCAACCATCTTCAAACTGTCACATGACTCATTCACATCTCTGATGTCAGGAGTCATCATCAAAGTGTCAATCAATGAACAGATGATGGATCAATAACTGGAACTGGATTGTGTTTGTTCTCTCCATCAGATTCCTGTCAACTCACAATCGACACAAACACAGTAAACAGAGAACTTAAACTCTCTGAAAACAACAGGAAGGTGAAACGTGTGGTGGAGAATCAGTCATATCCTGATCATCCAGACAGATTTAATGACTGTCCTCAGCTGCTCTGCACAGATCCTCTGACTGGTCGCTGTTACTGGGAGGTCGAGTGGAGAGGAGACATTGAAATATCAGTGAGTTACAGAGGAATCAGAAGGAAAGGACACATAACAGACTGTGGGTTTGGATTAAATGATCAATCTTGGAGTCTGAGGTGCTCTGACAGTGGTTACTCTGTGTGGCACAGTAAGCGGCACATGCGCATCTCTTCTTCTTCATGCTTCTCGTCTGTTACTAACAGAGTAGCAGTGTATGTGGACTGTCCTGCTGGCACTCTGTCCTTCTACAGAGTCTCTGACATTTTGATCCACCTCCACACCTTCAACACCACATTTACTGAACCGCTTTATCCTGGATTTAGGTTAAGGTCCAACCCTGATTCCTCTGTTTCTCTCCCCCTGTTAGGCAAAATTTAGACTGTTACAAAAAAACAAAGATGCTCCAGTTATTCCAAGATCAACATATTGCTTCTCTGTCTTTTTCCACTTAAAGCTTTACAATCAACATCAGTATGTTGTGTTTCTCTGAGTTAAGCTGATATGATTCAGTTTTTGTGAACAGACACAAAAATTGCTTAACTTTGTATCAACTGCAGCCCTGCACCAGTAATAATAATAGATTGGATTTATATAGCGCTTTTCAAGGCACCCAAAGCGCTTTACAATGCCGCTATTCATTCACTCTCACATTCATACACTGGTGGAGGCAAGCTACAGTCGTAGCCACAGCTGCCCTGGGGCAGACTGACAGAAGCGAGGCTGCCATATCGCGCCATCGGCCCCTCTGGCCAACACCAGTAGGCAAGTAGGGTAAAGTGTCTTGCCCAAGGACACAACGACCAGGACAGAGAGGCCAGGGATTGAACCGGCGACCTTCCGGTTACAGATGCGATTCCCAACCCCCTGAGCCACAATCGCCTCAGTAGTGAATTGAAAGCATGGAAGCATGGATGCAGCAGCCCCTATTGAAAAAGTCAGACATTGCACCAACTCCTGCCAAAGTTCCATAAAAGTTTCCTGCTGTTTGTCTTAGTTAGAGTAGTTATTTTGTAATTCGTGATTGATCAGTAATATACTAAATAATAATGTTTTTTTTGTCTTTAAATAATACCAAAGATCGTGTTCAAATGATATTACTTGCTAATAAAGAGGGGTTTCCAAATATCATTAAGCTGTAATTTCATACAAACACCTTTTGCTGCCAAATCAGAATGTGTTTTGGAAATTGGGATCCTGAGCCTGGTGAAATACTCCATTTATTTTAATATTTTTCAATAAATACATCAGCCTGTATGTCTTAACTCCTGTCTCAAAGGGGACCACCGGTGTTCTGAGACTGCCATGCCTTTTTTCTGTTTTCATAATGAATTTGCTTGCTTATTTGTGTCCCTCACTGGATGTATTATAATGTGACAATACTGTAGGAGTGATTTTTTGGGGTTGTTATCTTATGCATGCTGCTAGTGGTCACGTTTGTGTTTTTTGTTTGTATGGTGATTGTATTAAAGGTAGACGCACATAATTAACGCCAGGTGTGTTGTTGATTGCGAGGAAGCAAACAGTTTGTGACCGCTGCACTGTTATGTTAAATCATGTTGGAATAAAGAATCTAAAGGACAAGATAAGTATGGCTGGAGTTATTGGACTGTATCAAGTTTAATAAGTTAATGCACACCAGTGACATCGCGTCACCCCTGCCAAGAAACACCTCAGTGGCTTCAAGCGTAAGCTTAGCCTTTACAAATACAAATGGGTTATTAGCTAAAGGACTTTAGTTCAAATTGTTAAATAAAACTGTAAAATAGATGTTACAGTCTCTTATTAACCCTATAGACACTATCAAAGGGACTTTTTCTGATGCTTTATTTGACATGTAACTTCTAACACTTGAAAGCTGTAAGTGTAGCAGTAGTAGTTTCTTCACACTGCTTTCCATAAAGATTTAATAAAGAATTAAAGAAAGAAGAAGAAAATTTGATTATAATTTGTGCTGTCTTGCCTGTAACTTCTCCACAGTATGCCTTTTGTCCTGTCCTCCTCACATCCTTCCCAAACCAGCGATGGCAGCTTGGCCTGATTCTGCTGGAGAGTTCTTCCTGGTGTTGCCAAGCACTTGTTCATAGTGAGCTGCCTGATCATTGGTGTTTTCTCTGTATTATTGTACATATAAATATAAAGCACCTCAAAGTGAAGAATAAAATAAAGTGAATAAATAAAATTCTATTGAATTGATCTGATTATGGGAAGAAGTGACGGCAGGTAGTGAATTAATAATGAACATTAATTATTAATAGGAATATTTCAAGGTTCCCTTACAGATATTATTTCATTATAAAATGCGTTTGTGGTCATAGCTGATTTGTCCTCATCAGAATAAAGTTTATTTTATTTGGCAGCAGTTGGCGCTAATGCGCCGGTTTCTAATAGCCAAAGAAGAAGACCACTGGTAGAGCAGCTGGATTTTACACCGTGTGCTCGGGACTGTAAGTTTTCCCTTATTTTAAACTGTATGCTCGCTGTCAGAGAAGTGTCTGCTTTCACTCTGCTACATATAGAATCAGCAGAAAGCCGCCGCTCGGCTCTTCCGGTGCCTTTGGTAACTTTAGTCGGGGCGGAGCATTTCCAGCTGGTTTCCGTTATATGAGGCAACACAGCCATTTTCCCCAAATAACTCTAACGACCGCTGTTTTTAAATACCACAACCTCAGTCACCCCAACCACTCACAACTTTAAAAGACAGCTTACATCTGTCGGTAAATAATAAAATCTGTTTCTGTTTACTTTCTGTTTCCCGTCGGGATGTTAATCCTTACATACTTTTCAGGTCAAGTTTGAGAGCAGGTTCATTGTGTGTCAAATTCCTGCGTGTCTTATGTTGGCCGTGTGAGAAGTTATGTTTACAACACTTTCACTTTAAGGAGGATGTTGTTAATGTTAATGTTAATTACAGAATTACAAAATCATGCGTGTTGTTATGATACTTGTAGTGATGGAGTGTTGCCAGCTGTGGGCGCAGCGGCATCCACGCTGGCCTTTGAGACGCTGCTCTCGACTGAATGCTGGTTATTACTTAGGTGGACCTCAGAAGCGCTCTATACAGGAGGGCAAAAGTAAAAGTTTGAGGTTTAATGATGTTTTTAATTACAGTAGGATGGCGTCAGCAGGTCATGACGTCATTGTGACGTGGTAGGGCGTCATATTGAAAAAAATTAGTGTTTTACAGCCCTTTCAATGGCCTTTCATATGCTATATTACTCAATATGGTTCAAAAAATCAAGGTAACCTTTGACCTCGAACTTTGACAAAGTGAACTTTGACCTAACAGTGAAGGTAAAGGTCAAATGGTCATTCCTTATTTTCACATACATTTTTCATTTAAATTATTATGCCTGTCATGATTTCATGTCTTAGGTGAAACAGGGCATGATATTATGGGATAGTAGATGTTTTTTCCTTCTAAACAAAGTGTTGTACAGTCTCCCTTCTTTCTTCTTGTAATAATGTCAGACATGCTATTTATACATTCAAATCTATAAATAGATTTGTTGCAGACATGATGTGGGAAACCTGTAGGGTATCTGTTTTTGAAGTTTCCTCCTTATCAGTCAAAAACAGGTAATGCATGTTCACAGATTTTAGTTACTCACTGTTGGAGGGATTTATAACCCACTGACCCTAAAGGCTGGTCAGTTTAGAACAGCAGACCCTTCATTCAAACACAGAGGGTGTAGGGTCAGCTTAGAACTACCGGTAGATACTCGTGTCATTAAATGCATCCTGTATGTTCTGGGATGATTTGTGTGTCCTCTCCAGGTGAAGGTAGAAAGTGTGTTTTAGCTGATGTGGATGTGAATTCAGCAGCATGGATCAGTGTGAGGACAGAGAGGAGGGAGTCCCTCCATCTAAAACCACTCTGTGTGGGGAACATGAGAGCCAGACCACAGCTCAGAGGTGAGATGACCATCTCTAACTGTCCATGACTCTTCTCCATGTCACAGCTCAGCACTCACATCACTGCTCCATCATTATTCACAGGAACCAACCTGGAACTGAACCCAGCTGTGTGTCCTTAAAGAGTGATGCCTCAGTTGAACGCCACATTGAATTTAAACAACAACCCTCTGCTGCAGGGAGGTAAACATGAACATGGGCTTTTTTGGGTCTTATTTACATGACAGAGTTTAATAGTTTACCACAAGTTTAAAATGACAAATACAATTTAAAATATTTAAGAAAATTTTTTAAAACGATACAAACACAGTTATTGAAGAATTGAAGAGGTAAATCATCTAAAACAGCTACCCACAGAATCTGAATGGTTCCTGTTCCTGTTAAATTAACCAAGTGTTAACAAAGAATACAGTTCAGGAACTAAAACAGATCTTCTGAGCTGAGGACAGACTTCAGAGACCTGCAGTATGATTCTGTCACTGAAATGAGTTTGAGGTGGTCTATAGGACCAGGTAGCATAGAACTGATATACAGTGGCAGCTTCCTGATACAGAGATTGAACAAAGACAAGTAAAATGTGTCTATCATGTCTTTTAGATGTAAAGAAAGGCTTTTTTAAATCCAAAGTAGAGATGAGTACTGCTACCATCAGCGGTGCTAGCAGCAGCAGGTCATCGGCCTCACGTCTGTGTTTTTATCATTCTGCTCAGGTGGTTACAGTCGACATACAAACCTTCATTTTCTTTATATGCTTGTTAGCACAGACGGCCTCTACCTTATATTCCACCTGCTGAGTAGCTGATCGATATCTTAGGACGACACTTATTTGGCTTTGTTCATTACTGAAGTATGATGAATTAGTTTAAGTGACTTGAATTTCTTTTTCCACTCAGCGAGGTCAGCAGCTTTTATTCTTCCACTAAAACAAATGTGATGCCTTTCTAATTTGTTTCCAACCATTTCATTATACAGTAATTGTTAACTTACCCATATTACACAAACACTGTGAACTAGGGCTGCCACGATTCCTCGAGTAGTCACGATTACGTTGACGACTAATTTAATAGTTGACGCGTCTTTTGAAGCTTTGTAAGATGCTGAAAGACGCCGGAATAAGTAGGATTTAAGAGTGTAGTAACGGACTGAAACAAAAGATGGCAGCAATGCATTTACAAGGATGCCAGCTGCTGTTAAACGCCAAAGAAGAAGCAGTCTGTGTCCAAATTCAGAGGCCGCATTTGTAGGCCGATTATGTTACAGCGACGCGACAAAGGCTGTCCAAACTTGAAGACTTCTCCATATGCGGCAGGCAAATGCGTCCTTAATTTCCCCCAGATCTGAAGGATTGGTCGGGTGTATCATTCGTGACACAACCTATCCCAGAATTCATAGCGCGGCTCAGTCAATTCCAGTTTCCAACAATGGCGGCAGCTACTTAGGTTTAATGTTACTGTTATTACTCTTTCTGGGTTGCAAAATAAAGTTTTCAGATATTTTCAGGCGAGAA